TTAGCATTTAAAAAGATTAATGTGTGTGTGTATGTGTGTGTGTGTGTGTGTGTGTGTGTGTGTGTGTGTGTGTGTGTGTGTGTGTGTGTAAAAGAATAGATGTATATACACGTATGTATGTTTGTATTTAGAAATATTTACCTAGAGTCTTTTCTTAAACACTATCTTTCATTAAACATTACGTCATATTGGGATATTTCGCCCGTACGATTGATAATAACGCGCCCAATACAAATTAAAAAAATGACAAAATTATGAATAATAATAACAATAATAATAATAATAATAAAAATAATAATAACAATAATTACAAATAATAATACAATTTTCCTCCCGAACGGAAAATGGATTTGCAATGCTGTCAATCAAACAAGAATCCTGTACGATGATCTTTTATTATTATTATTGTTGTTGTTTATAATGATTATTATTAATATTTATTATAATAATAATTATTATTATTATTAGTAATACTAGTAGTAGTAGTGGTAGTAGAAGTTAAAGTAGCAGTAGTAGTAGTAGTGGTAGTAGAAGTTAAAGTAGCAGTAGTAGCAGAAGTTGAAGTAGTAGTAGTAGTAGAAGAAGTTGAAATAGTAGTAATAGTAGAAATTGAAATAGTAGTAGAAGTTGAAGTAGTAGTAGTAGTAGTAGTAGTAGTAGTAACAGTAAAAGTTAAAGTAGCATCAGTAGTAGAAGTAGCGCCGGCATGAAATTTAGAAGTTTAAACGAATAAAAATGGACCAATGAATGAATGAATTAAATCATTCATTTATTAATTAATTAATAAATTGGACAAACAAACGGAAGAATAAGTAATAGTAATGATGAATAATAATAATTATTATTATTCTATTTTTATTACTAATGTTATTGATAATAATTAATTTACAAATTAGTATTTCACAATCATACCAAGAACTTTCAAATCCCATGTTGCACTGGCTGTGGTGCTGGGAAGTATGAAGATCCGTGCTTGAGATTCAACCTGGATTGCAGGGAGCTAAGGAATACTCCGTTTACGTATGGACAACCGCCTTGTAGCGGTCATTTGTAAGTTTTCCGGTTTATTTTCGCTTTCTTTCTCTTATTCCTTTTCTCTCGTTCTTCAACTCTTTGTTTTTCGTTTTCTTAGTCTGTTTCTTTTTATTTTCCTCTCTCACCCTCTCTCTCTCCCTCTCTCTCTCTCTCTCTCTCTCTATCTCTTTCTCTCCTTCTCTCTCTCTCCGCTTTACTTTTTTCTTGTTGACTTCATACATTTTTCTTACTTGAGCATTTTCCAAAAATGCTCAAGTAAGAAAAATAAAATTCCGATAAATTTAATAAATTTTGATATTTTAAATCTGTTTCTTAAATAAATGTAACTTATTTACAATTTTGTTAAATATTCTTTTGTAATATTATCTTATAATATTCATTTTAAATAATAACTTTACCATTTATGTTTATTTTTTTTTCCAACAAACTTTTTTCAATAGAAATTTTTTGGAAAAGAAAAAATTATGCTGCGAGGTTCAATGCAGCCATAGGGAAGACAAACTCACTGGATATAAAACGCTTCCTTAGTGAGTAATTGATGATGATGACGATGATGATGTTGATGACGATGATGATGATAATGATGAAGACGATGATGAAGATGGTGATGAAGATGATGATGATAATGAAGACAAAGAAGATGATGATGATAGTGTTTTCGCTGCTGATCTTTTTGAAAATGTTAACATTGATAAACAAAAGGAAAACCGAAACCGAAACTAAAAACCTCCCCACCCACAGTGCCCTACCAATCCCACACTACATGGGCCATAGGCCTCTTTTTCCCCACCCTTTGCCCCCGGATCCTCGCGATTTTATTGGCTGCCACACCACCGTCAATGATAGGACCGCCTGTTGCCCTGGGCAGAATGAACCAATCAGACATAACTCCGGATGTTACTAATGTGAATGATATTGTATTGATATTATCAGTAGTGGCAGTAGTGCTAGTAACAGTAGCAGTAGTAATAGTAACATTCATAGTAAAATTTTTAGTAGTAATAAAAATGTGGTCTTACTGCTATAATTGGTGGTATTACTTTGAAAGTAGTAGCAGCAGTAGTAGCAGTAAGTAGTAGCAGCAGTAGTAGCAGTAAGTAGTAGTACCAGTAGCAGTAGTAGTAGTAGTAGTAGTAGTAGTAATAGCAGTAGTTATAGAAATAATAGTAAATTTTATAACACCAGTTCACTTTTTTAAATTTAATATTCAGTTTTAATTGTACAAACTTTTTAAATTTAATATTCACTTTTAATTGTACAAATCTTTTAAATAATAAACTTGCCAACAAGCCGAGTCTAATTATTCATGTTTACACCTTGAAGATAGCAGTATTGGTACTGGTATAAGTAGCAAAAGTTAAATACTAAAAACATTCCCTGCCAGAAGATGCACAGAAGCACCAAATAACTCCAGATTATCAGGCATAAACAGACGTTCAAAACATCTGCATATGTTCAAAAGAGCAATAATAACTAACTATAGTAGTAGTAGTAGTAGTAGTAGTAGTAGTAGTAGTAGTAGTAGTAGTAGTAGTAGTAGTAGCACTAAAGTATTATTGGTAGTAGTAGTGATAGTAGTAGTAGTAGTAGTAGTAGTAGTAGTAGTAGTAGTAGTAGTAGTAGTAGCACTAAAGTATTATTATTAGTAGTAGTAGTATTAGTATTATTATTATTATTATTATTATTATTAGTAGTAGTAGTAGTAGTAGTAGTAGTAGTAGTAGTAGTAGTATTAGTAACAGTAGGTGTATAAACATATAGGCTGGGAAAAGGCTTTCTTCTAAAACCTCTTAAATTTGTCTTTTATTTATTATTATTTTAAAGTTATATTTTGTTTTTTTGGTTCAGAAAACCGTTGTAGCTTGTTTGTAAACATTTGAAATGTAAACAAAGGCAAATTTTCTGAGAATTGATACGATCTTAGTAAGTTTATCTTGATCAAAACTAACTCTAAAATAATAATATTTATAAATGACAAAGGATAATAAAAATAATAATAAATAATAAAAATAATCAATTAAATAAAACTAAATTAAACAAAAAAAAACTATTAAATGATATATATATATATACATATACATATATATATATATTTATATATATATATAAATACTAATAGGCAGCATGGTTAGCTTGCAATCGTTCAAACTCCAAAAATTAGAAGAAAGACTACATGAACTCTCCCTAAATAACCAAAATTACAAACCTATCAACAACGTTGGGTCTTGTTCGGGTGATAAAAACCAGAGTTTTCCCGCCAAGAATCATGGTGTTTCCGCCAAAAATCATGGTGTTCCCGCCAAAAATCGCAGTTTTATTGCCAAAAATAAACTGTTCAAAAGTTTTCAAATAACTACTAAGAAGAAAAAATTGAAAAAAGTTAGAAAAAATGTTAAAAATATTAATAAAAACAACGACAAAATATCGATTCAAAATCCGTATTCGGAATCGACTTTGTATACCGATCCTCTACCGACTGATTTCAAAAACATCGATCTACCATGGTTGGCGAAGAATAATTTAGACTGGCGGTTATTCGTCGGTCCGAATCGAATAGAGCCGGTATCGGAAACTTACATCGATCGGATAGTCCAACTCCACAAATTGCAGGGAAACAGTATCGAGTTTGAGAGTGAACAAGGAATGAAGGGATGTAAGAGCTTGTTCAGGCGCTCAGATCACATCACCAGACGGTCTATTTACGATGATAAAAAACGAAAAAGTCATAGTAAAAATAAAGGCAACAAAAACAATAAAACCAACAACAACGACAATAATAATAATATAATTAATAATAAGAATAAAATTAGTAATAATAATAACTATAGTATTAATAATGGGTCAACTAAAAAGAAGAAAAACAAACATATGAGAAGATTATCAGCGGCGGATAATCTTTTTGAAGAAACAGATAAACTGGTGAACACTATTTTTCAAAATTTGACAAAGTTTTTAAGAAATTTATAATGATAGTGACAACAATAGCAATAACTAAATAATGGTGATGATGATGATAATAATAACAATAATAACAATAATAATGAAAATGGTTTATTTCTTTCGTTTCAAATGAATCATTTGTTTAAATGGTTAAATCCTTATTTGTTTAATCATCTATTTGTTTAAGATTATAATAATAACAAAATGACGTAATAGTAATAAAATATTAATAATAATATTTATAAGAATTGTTTTTCAAAATCTTTGATTTGTTATATTTCTTGCAACCTGTATGCTGCTAGCATATTGACAGACTGCTCCTGTCTGTTAATTAACAAGAAAAAGATGAAAAAATAAGAGATGTATGTATGTATGTATGTATGTATGTATGTATGTATGTATGTATGTATGTATGTATGTATGTATGTATGTATGTATGTATGTATGTATGTATGTATGTATGTATGTATGTATGTATGTATGTATGTACAACAGATATATGTATGTATGTACGAACGTACATATGTTTGTATGTATGGGTGTGTATAATTTTGTGTGTTTTGTATTTTTTTTACTTTTTTTGTACTTTACATCTTTATGTATGTGTGAATACATGTGTGTCTTTGTATGTACGTATGTATTCATGTATGTGTATATATCTGCATTTTTCTTTCTTTCTATTCCCATATATATGTTTGTTTGTATGTTTGTTTGTATGTTTGTACGCGTGTATATATGTGTTTGTTTGTATGTATGTGTGTGTTTGTATGTATGTGTGAGTGTGTGTTTGTTTGTTTGTTTGTATATATGTATTTACAAATATGTTTCGCTACTGGTCCAAGTAGATAATTATTAAAATCGGGTTCACATTTATATTCATTATAGATGAAATATTAAGATGAGGATGAAAATATTATTAATAATAAAATAATAATAATAAAATAATTATAATTTATAAAATAATAATAATAAAATAATAACAACAAAAATAAGAAAGAATCATCATCATCATCACACGCAAGTCAAAAAAAACAAACATTGCAAAACATTGCGGGTCTCTAACTGATCGTTACAAGTTGGATGAATGAAGCAACAAGTACACATATATAGATGTTTCTCTCTCTCTCTTCTACTCTCTCTCTTTCTCTCTCTTCTCTCCCCATCTCTCTCTCTCTTTCAAAATCATTTTTTTTCCCCCTATTGCAAATTTTTCGTTTTCTCTCTTTCTTTCCTTCTCTCTCTCTTTCTTACTCTTTCAATTCTAACTTCATTTCTCTCTCTCTTTCTCTCTCTCTCTCTCTCTTTCTCTTTCTCCATTTGTTTTCGTATATTTTTTTCATCTATCTCGCACTTTTAATTTACTTTTTAATTTACTTTAGAGAGACTCTCTCTTTCTCACTGGCTCTTTTTCTCACTTTTATTTATTTTTTCTCTCTCTCACTCTCGTTCCCCCTCTCTCTTTCTCTTTCTTTCTCTCTCTTTCTGTATATATATATATATATTTATATATATATATTCCTATTACATAAATGATCTTTGGTAGTTTCTCTTTAATTTCATTTAATAACAACATCAGTGAAAATAACATAGACGAACAAACGAACGAACAAACAAACATATACAAACTTGACTAAATATGTAAACGAACGAACAAACAAACATAGACAGACAAATACAAACAGATCAAACAAAAGAAAACAAGGGAGAAAAAATAAATCACACAATCACACAGTTTTAAAATTGCCATGATATCAACAGCACACAATCCACAACTGCGTGTTACTGCGGTAAATATTACCAAATAATCATCACCATCATTTTTATCATCATTCCCATCATCATCATCATCACAACTATTATCATTACAACCATTAACATCATAATCATCAAACATCATCAATCATGATACAAAACATTGGCTATAAAACATAAAACCTCAAAAAATAGCAGCAACAACAACAACAAAAAGCATAGTAAAAAAAATTTAAAAAATAACAAAAACAGCAATAACATCAACAACAACATAACTTACGTTCATACCTAACTATATATCTCTGTTATAACAAATGATTCGCTATCTTCAAGCGAACACGTCAGAAGCTAACCTATGCAATGCTAGGCGATGCCGAACCAACAACTACAACAACATCACCATCTTCGTCTTGCTGTAGTTGGGCTAGTAATTTGTATGTATGTGTATATATATATATAATATGTTTGTGTGTATGTATATAAGTATATATATATATACGTATATATATTTATATATATATATAAGGTTATTATGTTTATGTATATTTATAAGAGACTTTATACCATATACACGATTTACACACACACAAAACACACATACATACACACATATACACACATACAAACACACACACACATATATATATATATATATATATTTCTTTTGATAATAATAATATATATGTGTATGTATATACGCATATACAAATGTATATAAATATGCGCTATACAAATATGTATTTATATATATATATACTATTATTATATTTATATATATATATACTATTATAGTTATCGTAATTGAGTTTATATGTATATGGGTTATGAAGAGTTAATTTGTTCTATAGCGGGCAATAGATGGTGAAAATAGTTTTTTCAACTTGCTTATATGTGCAGTTGGTTCGAGGTTTCACCCGGTCTCGGTCTAAAATTCTGTGTTTGAAAAGTTTTCAGTTTTTCTCTTTGATTCGGCTTTCAACTTGCTAAAATCTAGATATGGTTAGAGAGAGTTGTTGTTGTTGCTGTTATTGTTGTTAATATTATTGTTGTTGTTGTTGTACTTTGTAAATTTTTTGAAATTAATGTTCGATTATTTTTTTTTTATTTTTAAAACAGTTAAAATATTTTATAAAAGTATTAAATACACATACATATCCGCGATTTTTTAGGTGTGTTTTATTTATTTTACACTAATTTTTTCTTAAATTCTTGCACACGTGTGTGTATATGTGTGCTTATGTGTGTTTATGCGTGTGTCTGTGTGTGTGTGTGTGTACGTATGCTTTATGGTTTATGTCACTCGCATATAAAGAATTAATAAAAAATTTCCCATAAGATTATTTAACATACCTTCTCAAAGAATACTTTGAGAAATCTCAGACTGATTTTAAGTAATTAATTAATAATAATTTACAATTAATAATAATAACAACAGCAAATAATAATCATATTAATAATAATAAGAACGTTGTGTGACAATGAGAATGTTCAAAAGTTGGCGAAATATCATCAAACAGCGCAATGTATTGATTTGAAAAACACTTTGATCAGGCAAAAGACAAGGACGAGAAGAAAGAAAAGAAGGAAAAGAAGGAAAAGAAAGAAAAGAAAGAAGAAGCCGAGGAAGCCGCTCCAGCTGAAGCACCGGCCCCAGCAGCCGCAGAAGAAGAAGCCCCCAAACCGAGTTTCGCCGAACCCAAAAAAAAAATTGGTAACGTATTCGCCCTCTTTAACCAAGCGCAGATCCAAGAATTCAAAGAAGTTGGTTTAGAGTGTGTGTATGCGTGTGTGTGTTTGACTCTGTGTGTGCGTGTGCGTGTGTGTGTGTGTGCGTGCGTGTGTGTGTGTGTGTGTGTGTGTGTGTGTGTGTGTGTGTGTGTGTGTGTGTGTGGATTTGCGCTAATCCTAACTTCTTACGAACATTCGGTGCCGGTTGCAGGTGCCTCTAAAAAAAAATACTAAAGAATGAATTAATTGTCTGGAAAGCAATAATAATTATAATAATTAAAAAAATAATAATAATAATAATAATAATAAATAATAATAATAATAATAAATAATAATAATAATAATAAATAATAATAATAACAAACAGGCTTTCACGCTGATTGACCAAGACCGTGATGGGATAATTGGACCTGATGATCTATCGGCCATCTACACACAAATTGGTGAATTTTTTTCACCCTTTTTCACCCTCATTGTTTTCCTTCTCTCATTCTTTGTTATTATTATTATTATTATTGTTGTTGTTGTTGTTGCTGTTGTTGTTGTTATTATTATTATTATTATTTTCTTTTTTTGTTTTGCTCTGAGAGAGGCGAAGTTGTTAACACGCACACGCGCCTGATCAGTTTTGTTTTATAAATTTTAAATTTGTCTGCGACTTTCAAAATGAATGAATGAATGAATGAATGAATGAATGAATGAATGAATGAATGAATGAATGAATGAATGAATGAATGAATGAATGAATGAATGAATGAATGAATTAATGAATTAATGAATGAATGAATTAATGAATGAATGAATTAATGAATGAATGAATTAATGAATTAATGAATTAATGAATGAATGAGTTAATGAATGAGTTAATGAATGAGTTAATGAATGAGTTAATGAATGAGTTAATGAATGAGTTAATGAATGAGTTCATGAATGAGTTAATGAATGAGTTAATGAATGAGTTAATGAATGAGTTAATGAATGAGTGAGTGAATGAAGAAGCAAATGGACGAATTACTGAATGTTTAAATGAATAAGCAATGACGTCATCATCTTAGGTCGTGACCCCGACCCAAAAGTAATCAAGGAGTTGCTGGCCGAATGCCCAGACAAGATCAACTTCACTCATTTCCTCACTCTTTTTGGTGAAAAATTACACGGTTGGTGATGATGAGGATGATGATGATGATGATGATGATGGAGATGCTGGTGGCGATGATGGTAATGATGATGGTGATAGCTATGACGATAGCGAAGATGATGACGACGTTGATGATGATGATGATGACAATCCTGAAAACGATGATGGTGAACACGTGACCAATCACGTGACCAACCACGTGTAGGTACTGACTCGGAAGGCGCCCTGAGAGATGCCTTCATCATGTTCGACGAAGAGAAGAAGGGAAAACTCCATGAGGAATAGTCAGTTTCACTTTCGATTTATAAATTTTTGGTACTTTTTTTCATTAATCATTTTCAACAAAGACGAAGACAACGACGAAGATGATAAAATTATAATAATTATGAAAATATGGTAAAATAATTATGGTTTATAAAATTACGATGATAAAATTATGATTCACAAAGTTATGATGATAAAATATTGTGATTCATAATTTCTCAAAAACAGCGTTAAAGACCTTCTGACCAATGTCGGTGATCAGTTCTCCAAGGATGAGGTTAGTCAAGATCTGCGTCACGATGACGTCATTATTTATTCGTTCATTGTTGTTGTTGTTCGTTCATTCGTTCGTTTAATCATTCATTCATTTATACAGTTTTCGTTCGTTCGTCCATTCATTAATCTATTTATTCTTTGATTAATGTGTTCATTAATAAATAAATAAGTGAATGAATGAATGAATAAACGAATGAATAAACGAATGCATGAATAAACGAAAGAACGAATGAATAAATGAATGAACAAATGAATGAATAGACAAATAAATAACGAATGAACGAACGAACGAACGAATTAATGAAGAATGAATGAATGAATGAACGAACGAATGAATGAATAAACGAATGAACGAATGAATGAATGAAACATAAACTCTCCAGATCAAGCAGGTATGGAAAGAAGCGCCGATAGAAGGCGGCCAGTTAGACTACTTGAAATTCGTTTCCATCATCAAGCGAGGAAAGGAAGACGAGTAAAAAAGACCGACCGAATACCGACCGAATATTCATCGATTCATTTCTACTCGTTCTTTAACTATTATTACTTCACTCGATCCGATTTCATTTAATTATTACATATATTATAATTATAATGAATAAATTATTTTGGTAAATAAATTTATTATATTATAATTATTGTTCTTGGGGCAATGCTCTTTTCTCTTCTTTGAAGTGTCTTTGTTTATGAATAAACCGAAAAAAAAACAATTTGGTTTTTCTTTTTTTACGTGTTTTTGAAAGTTAATTAATAAACTAATTAATTAAGCAATCAATTAACCTATTAAATATTTAATTAAACAATCAATTAGCTAATTGATTAATTCAATGGCTTGAATTCTAAAACATCGCTTTATAGCTATCGTTATGAATATTATTATCGTCATTATAAATGTTATAATATTTTTTCGCCAAATTGACCCAAAAAACTCGTAGAATGAGCCGCAACTGGCAATTAACCACAGTTAACAATTGCTAGCTGCTGGTTTCGATGTCTGCTGTAGTGACCGAGTTCGAATGCTAAAAGACCCCAACTTATACAACAAAAACAACATTGTGTTGTTGTTTTTGTTGTCGTTGCTTCTGTTGTAGTTGTAATCGCTCGCCGATCGACCTATCATCTTCTTCCCAGTCTTTCCGAATTTCTGCCATCATCTTTGCAGCATCCCAATTCACCCAGCCGTGCCCCATGACCATACTTCTCCCTCATCTTTTGCATGTTCCGTAAGAACCGACTTCATCCATAAGTGTTGAGTCGGTTCTTTTGCTTAAGCGCACAACCTGCATTGGTTTTCATTTATTAGGCCAATGGCTTCAAGGTTCATGTTGTGACCAGTTTTGAAATGGCTGAGGTCCGTTCTTGATCGCTCGTTGAGTTTCTCCTCATGGATTTTATTGGCTTTCGTATGCACTGTTTTACGTCAATCGTGCTCTGCTCTATATCTTTTCTGGTACCAACTGGTTTATTAACGAAAGAAGTAGAAGTAGTAGAAAAAGTATTAGTAGTAGTAGATTTTTTTGTTGTTGGTGGTGTTGTTGTTGTTGTTGTTGTTGTTCTAGTACTATTGTTGTTCGTATTCTTTTGTTTTTTTTTATAAAATAGTCAAAAAATCTATGGCTAAATAAAACTAACCGAATTTTATTTAATTAATAAATTGTCGATAATAAGTAATATAAGATAGTGAGAAAAAGAGAGAGAAAGAAAAAGAAAGAAAGAAAGAGATAAAGAAAGAAAGGGAAGATACAATATTATTAAATATGAAAAAGAAATCACAAAATAATTTTCAAGTTGTATGTGAATGAAAGAAAGTTATACATATACATAATTATACGTACGCATGTTTGTATGTATGTATGTATGTATGTATGTATGTATGTATGTATGTATGTATGTATGTATGTATGTATGTATGTAGGTATGTATGTATGTATGTATGTATGTATTTATGTATGTATGTATGTTTGTATGTATGTATGTATGTATGTATCAAAAGCTTTTCTTTGAATAGAATCATAAGTTTGGATAAAATATAAACAAAACAAGATAAAAGAGATAAGGAGGATGATATTGTGAGGGTATAAATTGCAGCTGAGGGCAAAAATAAAGAGATAATGAAAATAAAAGTGAGGGTAGAAAGGGAATAAAATAAAGTTATTTACACTCAATCAATCTTATAATTAGTTTATTAATCAACCAGTCAATCCTCAATTTGATTAGATTAATAGATTAATTGATTAATCATTCATTTAATAAATAATTGACTAATTAATTAATTATTTATTTAATTAATTAACTGATTAGATAATTAATCATTGATTTAAGTTAAATCTGAAAAAAATGAAATAACAATAAGATGGGGGGAAAGTTATTTGCATTCAATCAACCGTTTAATTATGTCTAATTAGTTATCAATTAACCAATTGAAATACTAGGATTGAACATCAATCAAACGCTAGAAAAATGAAAAAAGTTCAAAGATACTAAAATTCAAGAATTCAAAGTCTATTGAACTATAAACATCTAACTATTTTCAAAAAATAAAGATTTATTTTTACTAAAAAAAAAATAAATACAGAAAAAAACGAAACAGTTTTTGATCACATGATATCATTTCAAAGAGAAAACATTTTCCAATTTTTACGTCATCATGACATCATCATCGTCATCATATTGACGTCATTTTCGCCATCATCATCACTACCGTCACTTATTTCATCATCATCATCGCTGTTCGCCAGTTTTTTTTTCAAATATTTCAAATAAGTTAAACCCAAATAACTTAAATTTAACAATCAATCATTCAATGAATCATTCAGCTGATCAACTAATAAACCATCCAATCAACCAATCAATCAATTAACTAATCAATCAACCAACCAATCAATCAACTAACTAATCAATCAATCGATCAATCAACTAACTAATCAACCAACCAATCACTCAACTAATAAATCAATCAATCAACCAACCAATCAATCATTCATAATCCTGGAGTGAATCCATCAGAGGACCGACTTGATTCGAAAAGGAATCGACAACATTCTCGGCAGAGTACATCCCTAGTGGAGAGTTGTACTTTTGTGACATGATCACTTTTACTAAGTTTCTATTGCGCCCTGTGTGTACGTGTGTGTGTGTGTGTACGTGTGTGTGTGTGTACGTGTGTGTGTGTGTGGTGTGTGTGTGTGAATGTTTCATTCATTCGTTCGTTCGTTCGTTCGTTCAGTTATCAAAAACGACCTGGTAGTCCTTGTTTCCTCTGCTCCTCCATAGAAGCAGATCTAGGGGGCGGTAGTCCCGCAGCACCTAGAGGGGGACCTTGAAAGGGGATGTAGATTTTATAATTATGTATGGTGGCTTGATGGTT